CCTGGGACATCTGGGTGGCGGTGTTCCCCTTAGCACCCATGTAGACCATGGCCAGGGCAGAAGAGATGCTTATGGGTGAAAAAAACACATTTTGTGAGTTATTTTCACCCAGCTTTTTCAAGAGGTTCAAGGCAAAGGTGTTGTTTGCTTCTGATAAGGTGTCCATGGTGTTAGACCTCAGAGTCTCGGCGCCACAGCCAAGAACAAAGCGGAGGACCTGGGAGCGGCAGGAAGCAGGACCAAAATTCCCTTTCAAGGAGAGTTGAGCAACCCTGGTCTTAGACACAGAGAAAACCCAAGAGCGTAGGAAAAGTTCATGGGAGAAATAAATGAGGCTATCTACTCACGGAGAAGACTCTAGGGAACAGACGGCATCCTTACTGTTGAGTCAGCCCCTGAGTCACGGTGACCCACAGACTAGCGATCCAGATGGTTTTCATGGGTTTTCAGAAATAGATCACCAGGCCTTTCTTCCTAGTCCGTCTTAGTCTAGAAGTTCCACTGAAAACTGTTCAGCATCATAGCAACACGTAAGTCTCCACTGACAGATGAGTGGTGGCTGCATGGGAGGTGCAATGGTTGGCAACTGAACCCAGGTTTCCTGCATGGCAGGCAAGAATTCTACCACTGACCCACCACTGCCTTGTACACAAAGAATAATCATATACATAACGTCAGAGCAGCATACAACCCTTCACCAGCCATTTTCCAAAAATAAATAAATAAATAAAAGATCATCATATAAAATAAATGAAAATATATGTCCATGTTACAAAGCATATGAATGTCCATCAGTCCTCTTATCTGGAGACAAGAAACCACTTACTAGCCATGTAACTGTGTGCAAGTTACTTAACCTTTCTTTCTTTGTCTATTTGTTTATCTGTTAAAAAAAACTATGATGACAGATGTTGAATAGATGGTAAATATTACCATTCATTTCACAACTTCAGTGTCTTCTGCTATCAGAAAAATGCCAAAAAATATCAACAATATCTGGAAGGACTGATAAGACCAAAAATAAAAAGTACTCTTTTCATCCCAAGCATGAATGTAAAAATTCTGAAATCAAGTACAAATTAGTTTCAATCCAGAGAGAAAGAACTTCCAAATCCTGAATTTTGTAATATGATGACCTGTGGGAACACATCATATTCAAAACAACTGGCACACAATACAGCAGTGTACCTAGTTCTCTAGGCATTTACCAAGAGACGAGACACAAGGCAGCAACAAACGCACGAGATTCATCCTGAAGCTCCACTTGTGCTCAATGGCAAAGTGGGCCATTTAAGAGGTGGTATGAATTTTTTCTGAATGAAGCCCTCATTTCCTCTCTTATTTAGTTGTTTCATTTGTTTACTGAACAACAAATAGGAGAAAGGGCCCCTGTGGAACATTCTGCTGGATACAAAGATGACAGAGACACACTCTGCCCTTGGAGAAGTCAGCCACTCATACAAGGGCAACCACCACCCTTGGCTCCACAACCTTGGCTCCAATCCTACACATAAAACAAACACTCACACTCAACACACACATGGCCAGTCCCTGCAAAATACTGCATATTCCTGACTAATGCAACTGAAGAATATCCCATCTATGACTGGAAAGAAACAGTATGCCAAGGAGTAACTGCACCCAGAAGCCTGGAGAACAAGGGTTCGACAAGTAAGGTGACTGAATGTTTTGTGTAAAGGCTGGCACACTCCTAGTGTAAAGGGTCAGGCAGCTAAG